TATAGCCTGTTGATGTGCCTTTACGTGATTTCTTATTGCTCAGTCTGTATTTATTATTATTACTCATTGAGTTGGAGAACTCACTTAACTCCCTGCACTCCGTGTGCAGATTCAGGCACATCAGGTCCTGCTTGCGAGGGTTGAGAGTTGTCTAGCTGATTCCGGAGAATCACTAAGTAGCTGCCCGGAGATTCACTAAGTGCTTCTCCCTCTATCTTATTTCCTACTGTTTTAGTTATGTAATAGTTGAGTAGACTCTTTCAGACTTGTAGTATTATTATAGATTCTCATGACTGGTGACACCCCGATATCGAGCTATGTCTATTCCGCAACTGTAGTATCCATCTTATTTTGGGATTTTATTATGTTAAAGTCTTAATATTTATTATTATAATTGCTTAAAATGAATTGAAAGTATGTAGGCTGGCCTTGTCTTTACGAGATGCACCATTACGACCGGATCTGGGTTTAGGGTCATGACAAGTGACGAGACTTTTAGTTAAAAAATGCTTATTGTTATAACCTTTACATTAGACTAACAATATAGGTTGTTCAAAACATAACAGATAAAAGTTCCGTATACAATTCTGCGAGACAGTCAACAATTACTAGCAGGAATCACAGTAGAAGAATTACAATCCTTCCTGGTATGAGAAGTGTATCCAAGATATCAAGTCAAATGGCACGGTAACACCCTTCGTGCTTCTATCTCATCCTCACCATATATAAATAAATTTATGTGACAAATCAATTAGCACGGCAACACCTTTCGTGTGTTCAACTCATCCTTCCCAAATGTACATATAACAGAACCAACCAGATGACAGAAACACGATAACATGAATTACAAAGTAGGAAATATGCAAGTAACAACAATGGACGAGGATATACAGGTGGGCAACAGTAAAAGACTAGGCGGAAAACACGTGAGTAAATAACAACCAATAGGAAAACAAAGAGTATCAACTTCAATTAACTAGCATAGTGGAGGCCTAAGTACAAATATAGCAAACAAGAAGGAACCACAAGATCTTTACAAGTTAAAAGGTAAGGGCATGCATGACTAGCATGGTGGAGCTTACACTAAGGTACAACAGAATAGATACAACATGAGTATAGTTATAAAAGCAGGAAATAGGCATGGTATTTGCAAGTTAAGTAAGTTGAAGGTATGAGCAACACAACAACAATTGAGATGGAGATCATGAAAGAACAATGGAAATAAATCACATCAGATCCATAACTATGACAATAACAGTTCAAGGTAAAGATAAGAACATATACACAGAAGACTAATATCAAATATAATGCATGTCCCTCATCCTCGCCTGCACGAAAACACCCATCATGCCATGACCGCACTATAACATACAAGAATAAAGATATAAATGAAATAGTATGGCATCACCCTTCGTTCTTTAACTCTCAAATGATATGGCACGGCATCACCATCGTGCTTTTACTATCAATAATGTGGCACAGCATCACCCTTCGTGCTTTTACTCTCAATAATATGACACAACATCACCCTTCGTGCTTTACTCTCCTTCACATGATAATGTATAAATAATAGCACGGCATACCCTTCGTGCTTTACACTCTTCCTTACCAAACATATGAGTATAAATGACAAATAAGGCAGGAAACACAAATAGCATCAAGGAGAGTGTTTTAACAGACATTTCAAATAAATCCCAATCACATCTTTCCAATTCAACAATGATTCAACAACCCTCGAGAACCGTATTATTCAATTTCTTCCACAATTCTCACAATGATCTACAACACAAGCATAGAGTCTAGTATCTCATGAATATGAGCCGTAGTAATGTAATAATGATTTCGCATAGAGATGACCGAATTAGACATATCAATGTATTCTCATTATTCTACCAAATTCGATCAAGTTATAGTGGGCTAATTCTTGATTACTAATATTTTATACTACGTTCTTAACATCAGTAAATCAAGTGAAGCATGAAGCAAGGAAGTTACGTAATCCTACAAGACATAATTATAGCACAATCTAAAAGCATGATTAGCCTCAGCACATATATATACACTCGTCACATCATATATGTATCACCCCCGCATGTAGCAACAATGACAAATAGGAGGAAAAATTCTCTCAAAAATGTTAGGCAAAACACTTACCTCAAACAAGCCAATAACAATATCGAGCAAGCCAAGTGATGCTCCAAAAATGCCATCACGCGCGTAGTGACCTCCGAACGGCTCCAAAATATCCAAAAGCAAATCAAATACATCAAATAAAGCCCAAGGAAGCAACTCCAAATTATAAAGATCGAATCCTAAATTAAATCCCAAATTCGGCCCAAAATACACCCGGGCCCACGCCTCAGAACTCGATAAAACTCACAAAATCCGATTACCCATTCAATTACGAGTCCAACCATACTAGTTTCACTCAATTCCGACTCCAAATTGATGTTCAAAACTCAAAAATTCATATTATGAAACTTTAGGCCAAAACCCTCAATTTCCTCTTTAAAATTCATCAACTAAAAGCTAAAATCGAAGATAGATTCATGGAATATAACCAAAACTGAGTAGAGAACACTTACTCCAATTCAAATGGTGAAAATAGCCTCAAACATTTCCCAATTTCGAGCTCCCCAACTCAAAATATGTTAAATGAACAAAACCCTCGTTTTAACATTGTTCTGCCTTATTTCTTGTACCAAATGATCTTGAAACTCACTTTTGATACTTCTAGTGGATTTCTTGTAAAATTCTAGTCAAGTTAGGCTCTTGAATCACTCCATTTGACCTTATAGTGAAGGAGATATGTTGGTTTTAATATTTGAAAATAGTGTAGATTTTTAAATACGAAATCAGTGGCAATTTTGTAATTAATCTGAAAAAAATCTGGCAACTCAATTCTTAGTAAAATGACCATAAAAACTCCTCATACGATGTCCAAATTCGACGATTCTCTTTGATATGGCTCCGTAATTACAATAAAGATCTAATGCTTCAATAAAAACAGAAGTTGGAACTCATTTGCTTAATGTAGTACCATTTATGCTTGAAGAAACAATGTCGAAACATAAAAAAAAATAAAAAAATTAGCGCAACACAACCCAAAACCTATCCGAAACTCACCAGAGCGCCTCGGAACCACGTCCAAACATACCAACAAGTCCCATAATATATCACGGACTTACTCGAGACTTCAAAACACACATAACAACATCGAAACGACGAATCACACCTTAATCTAAAAATCAATGAACTTGAAACTTCAAACTTCTACAATCGATACTGAAACCCATCAAATCACGTCCGATTGACCTCAATTTTGCACACAAGTCATATTTGACATTACGGGCTTGCTCCAACTTCCAAAATTGAAATCTGACCCCGATATCAAAAAGTCCACTCCCGGTCAAACTTCTCAAAAATCCAACTTTCGTCATTTCATGACTAATTCAACTACGGACCTCCAAATTACAATCCGGACGCGCTCCTAAGTCCAAAATCACCCAACGGGTCTAATGGAACTGACGAAACTTCATTCCGAGGTCAAATGCTAAAAAGTCAAACTCGGTCAATTCTTCCAACTTAGAACTTAAATCTTAGAAGTTCATTCTTCCAAATTGATTCCAGATAACTTGAAAACCAATACAGACGATTTACGCAAGTTATAATACATCATACAGAGATATTCGAGTCCTTAAAATACCGTGCGAAGTGTAAATGCTCAAAATGGTCAGGCGAATCGTTAAAACTATGAATAGTTTAAGGTTATAACTAATAATCCGTGTCAAATTCAGGGAGTATTAACTTTTAAGGTATCTTGCCTTTATAAATATGAAGGTAAAAGGCTATTTTATAAGAATTCAATTTAGTCCAAAAGAGAGACCGACAAAAGATCGAGCCGAATTAAGATATATTGTCGTCAAATTGGCTAATAAATCCATAATTTCCCTCAGATATTTTTTCACTACCCTATCTTTATCGAATTATATGTGAGACAAAAGAAGGTAAAAACAAAAGAAAAAAGAATGAAAAAACAAATAAAATTGGGACATGTCACAGAAGAGAATAATGAAGGGCTCATGTTTCCTAGCCAATAGCGTATTAGTGTATTACACTCTTTTAGTGGAAAAGTAAAGATGAGGCAGCCTAGATTGTTGATAGCTGGATTGTATTCCTATTTCCTAGTTACCTAACAGATAATTACAAGTAAATGTTCATAATAAATAAGATTAATTACTTTAAAAGTGAAATAAATAATGCGTTACAATATATTGATATTATTACAATGAAGAATTTTCCTAAAGTACTATAATTTAGAGCCTAATTGTTATACGTAACTATAACTTATTTAATTACTATTTTTAGTTACTATTCAACTGTTATCAGCTTGTATCACTTGTATTCTAAGAATGCTATTAAATTCACTTACTAAGAGGGTGTTCTAACCAACTGAGTTACAAAAGCTTATTGGTCTCTTGTTTCCGTTCAAAACAATTGATCTCTTATTTCAGTACTACAAGTAAATTTGCTATATAATTTAAATATAGCTACAAATAGTAATTTTAAAAAAATATAAGTACAAATGATAAATACTATATATATTTGATGTGTGCATAATTTTTCCTATTATTTACCTTCATATGAATTTAATACAACAACCCAGTATAATCCCACTTAGTGGTGTCTGGGGAGGATAGTGTATACGCAGACCTTGCCCCTACCCTGGGATAGAGAGGCTATTTCCAAATAGACCCCCAATATCCTCTCCTCCAAAAACTTCTCACCTTACTCCTGGGGAGACTCAAACTCACAACCTCTTGATTGGAAGCGGAGGTTGCTTACCATAAGGCAACCCCTATTGTCTTTCATATGAATTTAATCTAAAGATAAAATGGAGTGATTTGTTAGGTACAACTGCATAAACAAAGACATAAAGAGGACCACAGATTTGTGCTTGTCAAGTTGTTGATATATAAATAGTATAATAAAGACAGAGCCTAGGTGGTTTCCCATCAGAATGGCGGATATTACTAGAACAACTATCAACCTCATAGCTTCATTTTCTTGATTCCATTTCACAAATATTCAAGAACAAAGATAAAAGTTTCTACTTTGTAGTACAGAGTATCTAGCTTCATCTTTAAAAAAGCTGTGTTCTTTCTTGATATTATTGAACTGAAATGGCTGTGGCTATGGTTTCTTGTGGGATGTGCACTAGTTTAAAAGTTATAGAGAAGCAACCCATTTTAAATCCAGGTTTTTTTAATGGCTCTTTAGCTTTGAATCCAGGTCAGAGACTGTGCATTAACCCCAAGAGGTAAAGCTCCTGCCTTTCTACATTTTTGTTTTTATTTGATTATTTGTTTGCATATCCCCAGCTTCAACATGGACTTTCCCTTAGTTAATTTGATATAATTTGAATTTTCTATAAATGGAACGTATCTCTGCAATACCAATTGGTCTTCTTTTTTTTCTTTTTTTTTTATAAATCTTTGCTCATGGTTCTTCGTTTTATGATGGTATATCGTCTCTTTTCCCCTTCTTGAGCCTTGAGCCGACGGTCTCCCGGAAATAGCCCTCTCTGCCCCTCCTCGGGTAGAGGTAATGTTTGCATACACATTACCCTCTCCGGATTCCACTAATTACGCTGGGCCGTTGTTGTTCATGGTTCTTGGCAGTAATTGTTGAATACTAATTAGCTTCTCTAACCACAATATACTAAATGCAGCTTGATAAGTGCTTTACTCTTTGATTGATGTTAAGGAATTGAATTCTGTAGTTGGTTTTACCTCAAACATCATTTCATCTTATTGTGCCGAGGGTGGGTCTATCGGAAACAGTAACCTCCCCGACCCCATTTGTGGGATTTCACTGGGCTGTTGTTGTATTTTGTGATCAATTGGTCAATTGGGAAAGAACAAATTTCAGAACTTGATAATATTTGAATAATGTTGCAGCCTCTTAAAGTTCATTAATTTATATGGACTTGGAATTTCTGCAGTATTAGATGGGTAATAAGTGAAATCAATCTACTCTGTCCTTTCAGGTTAGCTTTATCTGGGAGTACAATTATTCCAAAAGCATCCTCAGCTACAGCTGTGGAGGTATCCGACATACTACAATTGATTGAAATAGTTGTTCCTTTTATTCCCCATGAAGTTTAGATATTTAGTTTTGATTCATGAAACGGGACAAGCAGGAGGGAAGTCCACAAGAGACTAGTGCAATTCCAACACCCAAAGTCATAATTGATCTGGATTCAGATCCAGATGCAACAGTCGTTGAGGTTACCTTTGGGGATCGCCTTGGAGCGCTTCTTGACACAGTAAAAATCCATTCTCTTATGATTCGAGTGTTAAGTGCTATTGCTGCCAGTGCTGGTCTTGATTTGCCTAATGTATTTCAGATGAATGCGCTAAAAAATCTTGGGCTGAATGTTGTCAAGGCTAATGTCTGTCTTGATTCATCTGGGAAACATAACAAATTCGCCATCACAAAAGCGTAAGTTCATCGTGGATCCACTATTCTATTCCTCTTGTAGTTTCCTAGTCCTTGCAAACTATCAATCACCAGATATCTGAAAACACTTTCAAATGAATCTTTTATTATGAGTTGTAACGGCTTTAGTTCCCCGATTGAAATTCTGATTGTTTCGCTATTGCAACTTGTTTCTAGCTCTACTGGTAGAAAGGTTGATGATCCAGAGCTGCTTGAAGCAATTCGTTTGACGATCATCAATAACATGATGGAATACCATCCGGTAAAAACTTCAATAAAGTTGTTGAGCATTAGTTGCTTGATCCAGTACCTTCTGAGGGATTCATATATAGCTGCTTCTTCTTACTGCATATTTTCTGGTGCAGGAATCTAGCTCCATGTTAGCTATGGGGGAAGCTTTCGGTGTTTTTCAACCCTATCAGAAGGTTGTTAATTGCTTGTATATGCTGTCCACATCTTGAATATGTGCATACACCATTAACAAGAATATGCACATCTGTATTGGTTATTTTGAACATCATGCGTGCGTCAGTATCTGTTTTTGTTTTTTGGTATTTGATATGGTATTTTGGTATTTGGTATTGTATTTGGTTTATGTTTTCAAAAAAATTAGGTATTCGGTAGTGTATTCCAGGGGGTGGGGTGAGTGGGGGTGGGGTTGATTTTCTGAATGTGCTAGGTTCCTGCTTGTCTTTGCATCGCTAGTAATGACTGATAGCTTTTTTGCTAGTACAAATCTGATTCAGAAACCAAGGCTTGATTTGCTTAAGTTATATTTTATTTTGTTGTTTGTCGAGAAAATTTTCAGATTGATGTGGACATAGCGACCCATATCCATATCTACGACGATGGTCCTGAACGGAGGTAACGTTAGATACATCCTTTTATTGGTATTTTATCAGTATAGGCCAATTCATGGACTGCTGGACTCAATATTCAACCCCATTAAGTGATCCATTACGTGAACAAGTTGAAGTGAATAGCAAAATGCATCTATTTTGCAGCTTACTCTGTGTAGAGACAGCAGACAGACCTGGATTGATAGTTGATCTTGTCAAGATCATTACTGACATAAACGTTGATGTTGAATCTGGAGAATTCGATACTGAGGTAAGAATACTACAGGAGTTTTTCCAAATCATTTCCTAATAAACTTTTTAGGCTGTAGTTGTGCCAACTAATAAGTAATAAGTAGCAGCAGCAGTAGCTTAGCAATGAGTCAAAACTTTATCTTGGTGCAGGGATTGCTAGCTAAGGCAAAATTTCATGTCAGCTACAAGGGCAAAGCTCTGATCAAGCCCCTTCAACAGGTAACTGACCGGTGGAACCAATATGTAATTTGATTTATTAGACTTTGGTAGCCTGAAGAAAATTATTGACAAATTTCAATCTTAAACCTTTGCAGGTTCTTGCAAATAGCTTGCGTTATTTCTTGAGGAGACCAACAACAGAGGATGCAAGTTTTTAATACAAAATATGCCGAATAAGTTAGAATTTGTCAATAGGGTTAACAAAGCACTTTCATTTATCAAGAACGAAACTTGCTAGTTTTTGTAGCATTGATCCATTCCAAGGTTTACACAGAGAAAATATGCATGAAATTTGGAGTCATAGTTTCAATGTGTACTGCAGTAACATTGTAAATTTGCTACCATCTATACGTCAATGATATACATTTCCAGAAGAGGAATGAGCCAATTATCAGTTATCGCTCATCGCTGCAATTTTAGCTTATCAGCTTTGATCACGTCCAACTACCTTATAAAAAGGACAAAGCGGTCGTTGCAAATATAATTCGGTTTACAAGTCCGGAGTCGAATCCCACAGAGAACTAAGGCTTAACTACAGTTGTTCACTATCACCAAGAATACAAGCTTGAACAATTTTTAACTTATAGATATTAAGATTCTTGTGTTTAACTAACTAACAAATTAAAATAATAAATTAACACTAAAGATACTACATGTTGGAGAAAAGATTAAGGAGGTCTAGAGTTATGATTTCTCTAATTGTCGGAATCCTTCCCGCTATGTCTTCTATAATTTCGCCTAAGTATTCTCTACCGATCATGAGCGCTCTGCGTGTTGTAATTCTCTCCCGAGTAAGTACGACAATTTACTAGACATACTCTCCCGAGTTACGTTAGCTGGCTTAAATTACAGCTCACTTAGATCACACCCAAGGTTTCGTTATCCCTAATCCCACCTTTAAACCCTTGGTTATTGATTCCTCACATACGTCGGGAGTGATGTTGTTCAACAACTACCTAAATATGCACTCTCTCCCTAGTAATACATACTAAATAGGCACAGCTAATTGAGGGCCCTTCAATCAACCACAAGAATAATATAGTAGAACAAATAGAGAAAATACTACGGCTCAATTATATAAAAACATAACAAGAATTTATCCTACAAAAGGTTCCATCAAAACCCTAGATAACAAATTAGCTATTCATAATAGTATGTAAAACTACAATACTAAAAGTCATAACCAACAATGAAAAATAGGAAGATGAAGGAAAAACTCGTAGAAGAATTTCCCGCCTTGCTCCTATTGTGTCTCTGCCTTCTTAGGTCGAATCTGTGTCTCAAATATGTCCAACCTCCTCAAAATTCCGTTTTCCCATGTATATATACCAAGTAGGATCGGGACCAAACAATTATTCCTTCTCCTAGACGAAAAAAACACTTTTCCCGGATTTAACTAGTGCGGCCGAGCTCGTGACCGCGCTAGTGACCTTGCTAGTGGCCGCGCATATTGCCTAGTATTCTGCCTGACAAGCGCGGCCACACACTTGACGCGCACTTTTCACCCTATTTTGTTTGGAATTTGGAAAAACGTAAAACATGAAAGTTGTAGCTCTTTGAGTTAGCTTTCCAACTATACTTTGTGGGGCCCAAATGGAGTTATGAGCAAAATGTTATATGCATTTTACTAAATAGTGTACAATATGCCTACTCGATTCGTCGTTCATTCTTAATAATCACCTGTTGATCCCCGACACGATCTCGGCTTAATTCCTTGGGCTTTTACTCAGATTTCAAAGCTCCAAATCACTTGAATTCATTCTATAACATCTATATAGCTCGGAATCACTCCTAGAAAGCATAAAACACACAATTAGTACAAGACACTAGCGATTAAAGCTCAAACTCAATTAAAATGCAGTAAATTTGAGTGTAATAAGCGACTAAAATACGTACTTATAGCCTATCATCAACACCCCACACTTAAACCATTGCTCGTCCTCGAGCAATCAAACTACACTTTATATAGACACGACCTTTTTTTAAATAATTCTCCTAACTCATCACACCAAGAATATTTAAAATAGACTAAGCACAAAAGTGTAACATCTTCACCTCAAGATTTGAGTCACAAGTACCACGTATTATTCACAACTCACCCACTTACTCTAACATAGAGATCACTAGCATTACCTTTCCTTCATGAATCAAGTGCCCTCACACAACAAAAGAGAGTAGTTCCACACAATAAAATTTAAGAGTACTTAGGAACTCAAGATAGATAGAAAGAACTCACTCACTCTCAGAAATAACATTCATATGCCACAAAAGATACACCATAGTCTTGCCCGTAGTGTATTACTTTACTAATCGAGCTCATTCAGTCTAGGATCAAGTAGGGCTTTATTTGGTTCTAATGTAGGCTACGGGACGGATATGATACATTTAGATATAAGAGTGACTACACCTCCCTAAGTACTTTAATACATATACGTTAACATTCAAATCTCATACTTATGTCAAATCAAACTCGTCCTTCACATCAATGTATTTTACCTCATACTTCTTTAAGCACAAGCACAATTACATCAAGAGTCACCACTTATCACGGCATTTTCTTTTTTTTCCTTTTTTTAATTCATGTGGCTCTTTCTTTTTTAAAATAGTGCACCTTTCTCCTTATTTCATTAGTTCCACTCAAAAGCCAAACCAACCACTCCACCCTTTAAATTTTATACACCTCATAACAATTCAAGTGCTCATGAGAGGTTAGAAGGTTCAAATAGATGGTTAATTCAAACAAATTGGTAAGGCTTGTAATGTGGTTGCCAAAGAAACAGGATCAAAGGCTCAAAGGAGTTAACTACGATATATGACAATTAGGCGGGTAAAATATACATATCTGGCTCAACAAAGAAACGCCTATATCACTTCTAAGACTGAACAAAACTACTATTTCGCTTTGTAAATACACGGGGCAAGTTCTAGGCATCAAATGCAATGTACAGAATAACACCCAAACCTCACACTCACATGGCACATAACTCACTCAGGATTGAATTCATCAAGACACTCTAGTCAAAGCAGTTAAGCAAAGTTAAAATCATACAATTTAAGGTACTTATACAAGAGTCAAAAATTGAGCCTAAGCGTCACAACCAAAGTACTCACTATTCTCAAGGCATAACAAAGTCAAGAGATATTGCTTCATTTCAAAACACAATACAATGGCTCCTATTCCTAAAAAAAAGACTAACTACACCCGGTTCAAATAAAACTCTTGGAAAAGAACCGCGGCACAAAGAAAAACCAAAGGGGAATTGCTACACTACCTAACAAAAAAAATCTTTTTGTTTTTTTTCTTTATACTTAAATCCCTCAAGAATATTATTTAATAGATCCATCGTCGGAAAAAGTACAATCTTTTCTATTTAAAAAAAATTATTCAATTAAACTAACACAACTAAAATAGCATAGAAAGTCACCCAGACAATCTTCTCACCCCACACTTAAAATTATGCATTGTGCCCAATGCACACCCATACATATAAGAGGGTAAAAGAAACTCCCTAGTAGGCTAAAGGCCAAAACATTAGCATCTCATGGGGTAATCAAACTTCTCTCAGGCCTAGTCCTTCGTGTGGTACCTCACACTTAGTTCTAACCATCTGGTTTGTTGTTGCATCCTTCCAATGGCTTTGCATTCCATGCTCCTAAAAAATAAAAAATCGACACTACAAAAATAATACAATTAGAAAAAACAAAAATAAAATAAAATAAAATAAAGCAGTAAGCTGGGTTGCCTCCCAACAAGCGCTTGATTTAACGTCGCGGCACGACGTGAATCACTTTTTCCCTCCACCTTGAACTTATGAATTGAGCCCCCAATTTGGCTTCAAGTATTCGGTTATGATCCAGGGGTGGCGGAACAAATATAATTGGCCCAAGAAACCATTGTACTATTTTACACTTCTTGGCTTTTAGATGAGGTACATAGTCCTGTCATTCTAGCAAGAAAAATTCCAGATTGTAGGCACCTTGTTCCTCATTCCTTGACTCCTCAATCGGCTCGGATGACTCTATCTCCATATTATCATCCAAGCCCAATGTGGAAAAATGTTTGGAGTGAGGACCAATGCACTCAAATACATGAACTTCAGAATTTTCAACATCCTCAACATCAATAATACTAGAGTCAACAAAATTTGTATCCTCAAAGTCCTTGACTGGCTCTAGTCTCACTTCTTCAACATCGACATCCTCAAATTGTAGTTGGCTAGGTTGTTGATGTTCTACTCTGACCTCCTTAATTAACACATCAAATTCACGCTTGGCTACTATCCCCAATATTGGCTTGTTGAGCATTAACAACTCCAACCGCTTGACTCAATTGAGCCTCCAAGTTGTGAATAGTTGCCTCTTGTCTCTCTATCTGCAGTTGTTTCTCATTATGGCTGTGCATGGATCGGATCGGATCGGATTTAGCACATTTCGGATTGAAATTTTGAATTTCGGATTCCACAAAATGCAATCAGAATCCGATCCGAATTATATCGGATTGGATCGGATTGCATAATTTCGGATCGGATTCAACAGTTCATAACAGAACAAAATTAACATAAACAACAGTTCAATTCAATATAGTTCTAATTCTTGTGAACATCAGTCCTAATCCACATAGTTCTTGGTCATCTCTATAGTTCTAATTCTTGTGAACATAGTTCTCGAACATCAGTCCTAATCGACATACACATAGTTAATAATTATAATTCAACAAGAAAAGCAAAGCTACAAATCCTAATTCTTGTGATAGAATCCATTACATAAACAAAATACAATCTTCATAACAAAACCAAATTAACTGAAATCTCAAATAGATGCCTAATGATCTGAAATCCTCAACCAGAATTTCTTAATAGACTACACAAAAGAGTTCCAAGTTCCAACTTCTATGGCCATCGCATTCAATCCTGATTCCTGGCGCGCTTTCAAGTTCTGCAACACTACACTTGTCAAAAATGAGAGGATTAGTAAATCACAACCCTAAGTAAATGAGAGAAACAGTGGTACAAGCAATTTCCACGCAGCAGCCTAATCCTGGGCCGAACATTTCTCAAACTTCAAACACACTACAATTGTACAACAGAACAAAGTATGCAAGCATGTTGCAATATCCTTTTCAACAGAACAAAGTATCAATTTGGAAGAAATACCTTAGCAAATGACATATTAGCAAATGCTTCTTTTGGCTACTCTTGCTCTAGCATTTCAAACACTTGGTGTGGTATATGGTGATACGGGCACAAGCCCTTTATATGTTTTCTCAGATGTATTTAGCAAAGTCCACATATTACCATACAAATAGGAATGAAGGGTTGTTCATCTATAATTATCATACGTGCTAAAGCCCTCCTACATGCCTCTTGATCAAATTTCCAAGAGATAAGTGAGACATCAC